CAAGGCTGGGGGTGCGCAGCTCAGTGTATTCCCGCCTCTGGAGCTCACAGTGGGGCTGCAAGTCCTGGGTGAAGAGCTCAGCCACATAGCTGTGGCCAGGGCTGGGCAAGTAGGAGGTGGCGGCAGCAGAGAACTTGCTGGAAGGCTGGTAGTTGGAGCCATCGCTGTCGTAGGTAGTGCCACAGCTCTCGGGGGTCTCTGGCAAAGGGTAGTGGGGATTTGGGTGAGGAGTGGGAGCTGCCACCACCGATGCCACTCCGCCATTGGGTTGCCCAGTGCCCGTGTGGGCCAGGATGAAGTCCAGGTCCACAAAGTTGCCCAATTCGTCTGCTTCTCTTTTAATGTTGGCAGTGCCTTCTGCATGCGGAGGAAGAGGAGGAGGAGGAGGAGGAGGAACCAGCCTCTGCTAGGAAAGAGAAGTGGAGCAATGGTTAGAAGTGACACTCTCTCAGTGTCCGCACTGAAGGCATAATGTGGTATCAAACTGTGTTATGTAGACATAGGTGCTGGAAAGGTTTAGGTGCTCCTGAGGGGAGACCTGACACTATTTATAGCACCCCCAAAACCTGAAAAACGGGTTACAAGCTCCCTCCTCCTTGGAGTAGAAGGAAGCTGGGTGTGCCTCCATTGGACTCACTCCGAATTAAATCCCCTCAGGAGCCCAGACTTGACTGCCAAAATCTGCAACTTCTTCTTCTTATGTGCCTTCAAGTCATTTCCGACTAAAATGGAGACCCTCTCCTGGGTTTTTCTTGGCAGGTTTGGTTCTGAGGGGGTTTGCCACAGTTCGACCGTCTGTCCTCGCCACCAAGGAGGACAAGGCAAAGCAAAATGGAGGTTATTGAAGCCAAAAAGGAGGACCTAGCCAAAGGAAAGCGAAAACGCTTCTTGAAATGTCAATTCAGGCTCCTCAGTCCTGCTCAGAATGGAGGGCATTCTCAGGAAAATGGAAGCGATAACCAAAGAAAGGCAAAAAACACTCTAGAAACATTCATTCAGGCTTCTTATTAGTCAGGCTCAAAAGGGAGGACATTCAAGAAAAATGGAGGGCCTGAGCAAATAAAATCTAAAAAACCCCAAAACACTCCTAGAAATATGAATTCATGCTTTTTAGTCATGCTCAAGGACATTTTGAAACTTGAAGGTTGGAATGTAGGACAGGTCTTGGAAAAGGAGGACCTTGGTCAACCCTGGGTTTGACTTTGCCTTCCCAAGGACCAGCAAATGGATCCCAGATTAAACCAGAGAGATCCCTAGAAGCCAAGATGACAAGACTTCGACTGTCGTACTTTGGACACATCATGAGAAGGCATGAATCGTTGGAAAAGACAATAATGTTAGGAGAGGTGGAGGGAAGTAGAAAGAAAGGAAGGCCACATGCTAGATGGATGGACTTTATTAAAGAGACCACAAATATGAGTTTGCAGGAGCTGGGCAGAGCAATAGAGGACAGGGGCCCCTGCAGATGTCTCATCCATAGAGTCGCCATCCACGTGAAGGCAGTTAACAACACCACCAAAAAAAGGCTGAGAGAGTGTGACTTGCCCAAAGTCACCCAATGGGTTTCATTCCTGAGCCGGGAATCGAACCCTGATCCCCAAAATCCTAGTCCAACACTCAAACCACTAAATTACACTGGAAGTTAATTAAGAAGGGGGAAATTAGCTGGAGACCCCACTTCATCCCTCCTCAATATTGGATTGGCTCTGATCCACGAAGAGCCCCTCTGGACGGAACCTGATTGGCCAATCCGACCCTGGCACCAAACTTTTTTGGGCTGCCACCTGCCCCCCCCCAAAAAAAGCCCCTGAAGAGGGGCAGAAGAGAAGCCCCTTCGGCAAAGTGAAGCCCAGACAGAGTGACCACAGTTCCTCCTTTTCCGGGACAGGTCCTCCATTTCAGCCTTCTGTCCAGGAGGAATTCCAAAATGTCCTCCGTTCGGAGAAGCATGAACTGATATTTTATATGAGTGTTTTGAGTTTGGGGTTTGTTTTTGGTTTCTTTGCCCATGTCCTCCATTTTGAACGTCCTCCATTTTGAGGTGGCTGGCCCTCCCACCGGGAAACCCATTGGGTGACCTTGGGCAAGTCACACTCTCTCTCAGCCTCAGGGGATGGCAATGCCAAACCCCCTCTGAAGAAACCTTGCCAAGAAAACCCGACGAGGAGGCCTTAGGGTCGCCATAAGTCGGAAAGGGCTTGAAGGCACACGGCACACAACAACAACAACACCTTCCAGCGTTCGAGTGAAGGGGGGGATGCCCTCCTGCTCTTGACCTCAGGCAGCAAATTCTCTTGGGCGGCCTCTGTTCGAAAAAATGCTTCTCTCTCTCTAGCCTGTTAATGCAGATCCCCAATAGAGACAGCCGGTATATTTGGACAAATGTTTGTACCTTTGAAGGATAAAAGTACCCCAAGATCTGCTAGGACTCTCCCAGAGCCCAGAAACGGAGAGAGATTTAAAGAGGGGGGGAAAAAGGCTGATCCTTGGGCTTTCACCGGCGCAAAATCTGGATCGCTAGTTCGCAGGAGCCTCCTTTCCCCTCTTCCATCCACCCACTTTTTAACCTGCTTTTAGTCAACACAAAAACACTGCCAAGCCCCGACCCCGGCTTTTCCAAACTTTATCCAGAATTGCTCACCAATGCCACCGATGATCCAAGCAAGCTCTTCTTGCCAAAATGGGGCATCATACCAGCTCCACTGCGAGGGAACGACTCCACCCAGCTTCCTTTCTCTCCCTGGCTACTCCTAGACCACTGGCACTGCAACTTCCAGAAGCCTCGACCACTTTGGCCAGGGATTCTGGGAGCTGAAGTCCAAAACACCTGGACTAGGATCAAAACACATGGGAACCAGTGGCCAAGACCATGCCGCTGAGGAAGGAGGCTCAAGTCTACGAAAGTTCATGCCACCAGCTTTCTTTCAGCGAGTCTCAAAAGTGCTCCAAGATCCCTTTGCGGGCTGATCTATATACAGCAGGGGTAGGCAACCTTTCCCCTTTAAGGGCCGAGGGACTTCAGCTCCCAGAATCCCATGAGCTATTGGCCAACATGGGACTATTGGCCAACATGGCTGAGGCTTCTGGGAGCTGAAGTCCCTCGGCCCTTAAAGGAGAAAGGTTGCCTACCCCTGGAAGGTGCTAAACAAGATCCCTTTGCATCCTGATTTATATATATATATATATATATATATATATATATATATTTCACATGCTGCCAAATTCTTTCTTTCTTTGAGTTTCAAAGGCAGTGCTAGATCCCTTTGCATCCTGATTTATATCTATATTTCTCATGGTCATGCTACCAGCTTCTTTCTTTGAGTCTCAAAGGTGCTGCTAGATCCCTTTGCCTTCTGATCTATATCTACATTCCTCATATCCATGCTACCAGATTCTTTCTTTCTTTGAGTCTCAAGGGTGCTCCAAGATCCCTTTGCATCCTGACTTATATATACATTCATTTCTCATGCTCCTGCTACCACCTTCTTCCTTTAAAGTTAGTCTCAAAGGTGCTCTAATAAGATCCTTTTACCTCCTCCTAGACCAGGATCAACCTCTCATCGATGCAGCCTAAATCCTCCACTTCTGCCCAGCCTCCAAGAAGCAGAGAGTGGCAGTCGAGCCTCATGATAACTTTGTCAGGTTAGCTCTGGATTTACAACTCCAACCGAACCAAGAGCTGAGCTCTGGGGCCACAACAAACGACATTTCCCAGAATTCCATAGCATGGAGCCACGGCAGTTCAAGTGTCGTCAAACCGGATTATTTCTACAGTGCGGATGCAGCCCGAGATCGTCCAAACTCTTGTTGTTCCCTCCCAGGAATGGAAAGAGCAGGCACTACCCCAACCAAGTCGGGCAGAAGGGAGGAATTTGAAAGAAGGGCGATGCCTCCTCGATCCTCCAAGTAGGGTAGGGGAGAGCAGTGACCCCAAGTCCTCCTTTTCCAGGACACGTCCTACATCCCCCCCCCTTTCTGCCCAGGAGGAATTCCAAAAGGTCCTCCCTTTGGAGCAGGACTCAGAAGCAGGAATTTCTAAGAGTGGTTTTGGGCAACTCAAACGTGCCTTTGGGCACGTCCTCTATTTTTTTCTCGGGAAGGTCCTCCATTTGGCCCTGCCTTCTCCTCCCTTGCGGGGAGGGCCTCTGTGGTCCCCCTGGGTGGGGGCCATTTCTACCATTTACCCTTTGAAGAAAGTGCCTGAGAAACATAGAATCCTAGAGTTGGAAGGGTCCCCGAGGGTCATCCAGTCCAACCCCGTTCTGCCATGGAGGAATACACAAAACAATCCCGACAGATGGCCATCCAGCCTCTGTTTAAAAGAGGGGAGACTCCACCACACTCCTTGGCCTTCCTTGCTCTCAAGAGATCACTCCCGAAGCTCCCTAGTATTGTTATCAACTGTTGTTGTTGTTGTTATTGTTGAGATCTTGTAGCACCTTTGAGACTGACTGAAAGAAAAAAGTTGGCAGCAGGAACTTTCCTAAACTTAACACTACTTCCTCAGATGCAGAAGCAGACTGAACTCTAGGAAAGCTCACACTGCCAACTTCTTTCTTTCAATGAGTCTCAAAGGTGCTACAGGATCTCTCTCTCTACACACTGATTTTTCAGACTAACAAAGCTTATATATCTTTGAATCTTACTTTCAGTGAGTCTCAAAGGTGCTACAAGATCTCTCTTTACATATTGATTCTTCAGGCCAACATGGCTATATATCTTTGAATTCTTTCTTCCAGTGAGTCTCCAAGGTGCTGCTACAAGATCTCTCTCTACATATTGATTCTTCAAACTAACAAGGCTTATATCTCTTTGAATCTCTTCAGTCAGTTATATCTCTTCCAGTGAGTCTCAAAGGTACTGCTACAAGATCTCTCTCTACATACTGATTTTTCAGACTAATACAGCTATATATCTTTAAATTCTTTCTTCCAGTCAGTCTCAAAGGTGCTACAAGATCTCTCTCTACATATTGATTCTTCAAACTAACAAGGCTATATATATCTT